GGGGATTATAGAGGTTCCTTGTCCTGTGAGAAGCTATAAGACGGTTAGACTGGGAATAGAGCAAGGATGGACACACACGCACACACGCACACACACACACACACACACACATGCAACACACACACACACACACACACACACACGCACCACGCCACACACCACACACACACACATGCATACACACACACACACACACACACACGCACACACAACACAACACCACACACACACAACACATGCCACCACACACACCACACACACACACACACACGCACCACACACACACCACACACACACACACACACACACCAACACACACACCACATTATTGAGGGATCTGGGGATATACTGAACTTATATTACCATCAGATTCACTGGAGCAACCCTTCTTCTCTTCCATCCTGTCTAGGGAGTGCTGCAACAAGATCACATAGTTTCACTTCGACATTCAAACGTATTATGGATGAACATCTATTTTTTTGATGCATTCATTCCGCGTGGTTTTACAGGGTTCATTCCGCGTGGTTACAGGTTTTTAAAACAGAAACCAAAGGGTTAACAGTTCAGGCATTAATTCCGAGCGGTTAAGGTCAGGGCTATTGTTTTGGGGAAGGTTCTGGAAACCAACAACTTAATATCTCAAGTATCATCAAGTATTCTCACGGCTTGGCTAAATCATTGTGGTGGGGGCAGTGGTTTGCTCTGACTCCGAGCATCAAGAATTCGTTGCCCAGTGCAATCATTTCTGGTGGGGGGGTTTTGTGTGAGCACACGAGGAAGGCATTACAGTGCATTCGGAAAATATTCAGACCCCTGACTTTTTCCACATTTGTTACGTTACAGCCTTTTTGAAACGTCTTGAAATCAAGTGTATTTCTCGTGATCAGGATGGTGTGTGTGTGTGTGTGGTGTGTGTGTGTGTGTGTCGTGTGTGTGTGGGTGTGTGTGTGTGGGTGTGTGTTTGTGTGTGTGGTGTGTGTGTGTGTGTGTGTGTGTGTGTGTGGGTGTGGTGTGTGTGTGTGTGTGTGTGTGTGTGTGTGTGTGTGTGGGTGTGTGTGTGTGTGTGGTGTGTGTGTGTGTGGTGTGTGTGTGTGTGTGGAGTGTGTGTATGTGGAAATATTCTCACAGTCTCATGTCAGAATTAGACTTTCATCCATTTGTCCAAATTTCAAAGTTGTTGCAAAAACGAACATTTCTAAGTGTTTAAAGGTAATTTTAAGGTTTTTAAGGTTAGGGTTAAGTTTAGGTATTAATGCAGACATCTTAAGATTAGGCATTAAACTCCGAATGGTAAGGTAAGGTTTGGGGTAGGCTTAAAAAAAATTCTAAAAAACAACTTTCTTCGCTGGTTTGACTTCAAACTTTGGAATCGAGGCAGAGGCTTACGCCCCCTCCACAACCCCTAGCAAACTGAAAATACTTGAAGGTAACAGCTCTCAAAAGTTGCCCCCCGTGGCCGGTTCCCATGTCATTTTTCCCCGGGGCGTTTTAATACTACTTGTTCATGGGTGCCTGGCTCGATATTCGAAGGAAAGCACCGGGGGATCAGTTTACAATGAATTATTAAGGATATCCAAACGTATATCATTTGTACACATACCAACAACCACACACACTTCACACACCACCATCTTACTTACTTTTTCCCCCCAAGCACACACCCCACCAAGCACAACACACACACACACACACACACACAACCCCACACCGTCTTAATTAAAAAGAAGGAATTTTATCGTGGTGTGTGTTGTGTGTGTGGTTTTGTGTGTTTTGTGTGTGTGTTTGTGGTGTTTTGTGTGTTGTGTGGGGTGTACAAATGATATACTTTGGAAGAGAAAACCCATATTCACCTACGTTGAAGTCGGAAGTTTACTCCCTTCCAAAAACATTAAACCAGTTTTTTCACAAACCCGACATTATCCCATAAAAATTTCCTGGTTTAGGGCAGTTAGGACCACCAAATTTATTTTAAGAATGTAAAATTTAAATAAACTAGAGAGAATTTATTTTTTTTCAGCTTTTTTTTTTCATCACATTCCAGTGGGTCAAAGTTTTTCTACCTTAATTGTTTTGGTAAAAATTGCCTTTTAATTGTTTAAATTGGGGCAAATGTTTTTGGGGAGCCTTCCACAAGCTTTCCCCCAAAAGTTGGGTAATTTTGGCCCCTTCCCCCCGCAGGCTGGGGTAACGATCAATTTTTTTGGCCCCCCTTGCTCGACACCCCTTTTTTTAGTTCTTTTCCCACACATTTTCTATAGATTAAAGGGCAGGACTTTGTGATGGCCATCCAATACCCTTTACTTTTTCCTTAAGCATTTTTGGGGAAAATTTTGGGAAAATGCTTTGGGGGCATTTTTCTTTGGGAAAACCCTTTGCGACCAACTTTAACTTCCGACTGATGTCTTGGATTTCTTCAATATACCCATAATTTTTTCCCTTCCCCGATGCCCTCTATTTTGTGAAATCCCCATCCCTCCCGCAAAACCCCCCACAATGAGTGCCACCCTCTGCTTCCGTTGGGATGGTGTTTTTTGGCTGCAAGCGGCCCTTTTTCCCCCCAAACAAAAAGGTCCAAACGTTCTTTTTGTTTCATCAGACCAGAGGACATTTCTCAAAAAAGTATGATCTTTGTACCACATGTGCAGTTGCAAACCGTTTAGTCTGGCTTTTTATGGCGGTTTTGGATCAGATTCTTCCTACGCTGAGCGGGCCCTTTCAGGTTATGTCGATATATGACTTGTTTAACTGTGGATATAGATACTTTTGTAACCTGTTCCTCCAGCATCTTCACAAGGTCCTTTGCTGTTGTTCTGGAATTGATTTGGCACTTTTCGCACCAAAGCACGTTCATCTCTAGGTGACAGAATGCGTCTCCTTCCTGAGCGGTATGACAGCTGCGTGGTTCCCATGGTTGTTTATACTTGCGTACTATTGTTTGTACAGATGAAACGTGGTTACCTTCAGTCGTTTGGAAATTTCTCCCAAGGATTGAACCAGACTTGTGGAGGTCTACACATTTTTTTCTGAGGTCTTGGCTGATTTCTTTTTGATTTTCCTATGATGTCAAGCAAAGAGGCACTGAGTTTTGAAGGATAGGCCTTGAAATACATCCACAGGTTACACCTCCAATTGACTCAAATGATGTCAATTAGCCTATCAGAAGCATTCTAAAGCCATGACATCATTTTCTGGAATTTTCCAAGCTGTTTTAAAGGACACAGTCACACTTAGTGTATGTAAACTTCTGACCCACTGGAATTGTGATACAGTGAATTATAAGTGAAATAATCTGTCTGGTAAACAATTGTTGTAAAAAATTACTTGTGTCATGCAACAAAGTAGATGTCCTAACCGACTTGCCAAAACTATAGTTTGTTAACAAGAAATTTGTGGAGTGGTTGAAAAAAAAACGAGGTTTTAATGTCTTCAACCTAAGTGTATGTAAACGTCCGACTTCAACTGTATACAGAGAGTCCAACCCTAACAGAGAGATCAACCAATATCACTGGTTTACAACGAAACAGGAAGTGGAAATGAATAACATGTAGTTACTACTATGGTATATGATGTAATCTCCTATAAGGTCATTATACCAGATACTGTTTAGCGTATACCCTCTTTCTACATGTATTCAGTCTATACTATAACAACCCCCTGTACACCCCACACAGCAGCCTGAGGACGATGTGTTTGGATGGTATGAACATATGAAAAATAATCAGGTCATCCCCAAGGACCGAGCAACTTTATTTTATAACATGAAACAGATCAATGACCATTAGAGAGCCACAGTAAATGAATTTTAAAGATACCCTGTTGATACGTTTCAGATCCTTATCCGATGAGTGTAATGTCTTAACCGTTCCGGATCCTTTATCCAGAGGGTATGTCTACGTTCAGATCCTTTATCCAGAGGGGGTAATGTCTACGTTCAGATCCTTTATCCAGAGGGGTAATGTCTACGTTCAGATCCTTTATCCAGAGGGGTAATGTCTACGTTCAGATCCTTATCCAGAAGGGGTAATGTCTACGTTCAGATCCTTTATCCAGAGGGGTAATGTCTACGTTCAGATCCTTTATCCAGAGGGGTAATGTCTACGTTCAGATCCTTTATCCTGAGGGGTAATGTCTACATTCAGATTCTTTATCCAGAGGGGTAATGTCTACATTCAGATCCTTTATCCAGAGGGGTAATGTCTACGTTCAGATCCTTTATCCTGAGGGGTAATGTCTACATTCAGAATACCTTGCTTTAAAGCTGTTGTGTTGCATCTAATGGTGCACGTACAGTACATTGGCTATGGTTGAGACGAGAGAGAGAGAGAGAGAGAAAGAGGAAAATCCAACTGACCGCACAAAGAGAAGCCTCCCACAACGTAATCCTCACTGACAACCCTATAGACACATTCACACGCACGCTGTCTCTCTCATTCACCGTCTCTCTCTCTTTTTGTTTACAACGTTTTTGTGAGAGCTGAGCTGTGCAGCAATGCAATTGGATTCACACATTGCTGTTTGTGTGTGTGTGTTTGTGTGTGGGGTGTGTGGTGTGGTGGTGTGTGTGTGGGGGTTTTTGGGTTTTTGTTGGTTTGTGTGTTTTTTTTGTGGGGTGTGTGTTGTGTGGTTTTTTTTGTGTGGGTTGTTTTGTGTGTTGTGTGTTT